GGGGGGGGGGGGGCCGGGGGGTCATGTCACTCACTGCCGCCCCTGCCCCGAGCCCATCAGCTACAGGAGGTGATACTCTCGATGGTAGAAATCCAATGTCAGTTTCTTCATAATAGACCTGAGCAAATGTGTCGAAGGTGTTAAAGCCAACACTTTGACGAATTACAAAGAAGCAAAATGTATGTAACAGTAGGAATGATCATCTTTCATGGTTTAAAAAAATTAAAATAAATTACCCCTTTCGTCGGAGAGACAAGTGGGTTTAAAAGGGACAGTTTTATGCCTTGACCTGTTTTCTGATTTTGAAGTCGTATTAACATTACTTTTATATATTTTGGCCGTGAAACCTATTTGGGGGCTAATAGGCATATTAAAAAAAAAAAATCTTTCCTCCGCTTAACTGTTCACCCGAGACTAGACTAAAGTGCCAAAACACAAGTCAGTCATCATTTGGGGTTGTGATTTTGGAAGAGGCCCCCTTCACCACAGGAGGGTCATCCATGGGGCGGGGGGCGGGTGGGAGCTACAGTTCTAGGGGACGGTTTTACAACTGTGGGCTGTTAGGCTGAATTGACTGCTGTTGTTTTGGAGTCTTTTCTTATAGAAAATGTCAATGTTCTCTCTCTTATACTTGCTGCAGAATGCAGTGCGTCATAATCTTAGTCTTCACAAGTGTTTTGTGCGAGTAGAAAACGTTAAAGGGGCAGTGTGGACAGTGGATGAAGTAGAGTTCCAAAAACGAAGGCCACAAAAGATCAGCGGGTACGTCCGCCACGTTTGAACTTCTTAGCCTAGCTTGGATTGCGCTACCAAGTGTCGCGTAGAGGCTTTTGGCTGCTAGATGGTGTTAGACCAAAGAACTGGTTTCACGTTGTCTCAGTTAAGGGAAGCAAAAAAGCATTTCATCCCTCCTGTTTCGTATACCCACCAGTCCCCCTGCCCTGCTTGCTGGTCTTTGTTGCATCACATGCTAGTAGCTTTTAGGCGGCAATGCATATTAACCCTCACAAACCATTGGCTTATGCTTATTGCATTTTATTTTCTTTCTCCTGTTCCCTGTATTGGATGTCTGTTCTGCCCCCCCCCCCAACCCCGCCTCCTTTTGTTGCCACCTCATCTCCTTTGCTGCTGCTCCTATCCCAGGGTGCCATTCGCACCAACCTCTCACTGCATAAGTGCTTTATCAGAGTAGAGGATGAGTTTGGGTCCTTTTGGACAGTTGATGATGAAGAGTTTAAACGTGGCCGCCATATTCAACGAGGCCGTCCTCGCAAATACTGCCCCGATGAAAACTTTGACGAGCTTGTCGCACAGTAAGAGCCTTTACTTGCTTTTGTTTTTTGTTTCTGCTGTTGCTTTGGCTTTGCATGGTTGACTCATCCCATGATAGTTTTGCATTTCACCACGTAGCAGTGCCACGGCTTTCTGCAACGGAACTAAATCGTGTGATTTGTACATGTATTTCTCTCGTTTCTCTTTGGAACACCCGTGCTTGAATAATGCTTTTTTGACGTCTTTAATGCAAATATCGGTTGGCTTTTGATTCAGCAGCTTTACGGGGACCCTATAACTCAATGCTTTTGCGTGACCCCTAATTCCTCCAAGTGAAGAGGAAACTTCCTTCTTTAGAGTTAAAATGTGTATTTACTGGGATAACACTTCTTCTTGGCTCACTCAGTATAACGATATAAATATAGTGAAATGAATGCCAAAAGGGCCCCAAGCATGGGAAAGAAATGGAGACCCGTGCATCTCCTTCCTTTAGGGACCACTGGGAAACGTACACAATTTCCCGCCCCCCCCCCCACCCGCCCACGGAAGCCACCCCTTTCCCTCAGTAGCCTCCTGTATGATTTTTTTTTTTTTTTTTTTAAGTATTTGTATCCCTCCTGGCTACAGCTGTCCTTAAAACAACATCTATCTTGTCTTCATCATTTGGTCGGTAACGGACACAGCATCAAATTATTCTCGTACCCTCCCAAATTGCGGCTGTGCCCGAAGGACTGGAACCCCAGCCTCGGCTGCCTGACCCTCCCCTGGAGTAGCCTTCTCTCCATCTTCTTTTGGCAATAAGTGAGCCTTGAAGATCTTTTCCTCGGAGCTACCCTGCCGTTCCTCTAGCATTCGTTCTAAAATTCAAATCCTGGTGACGCTTGAGAGGCAAAGATTCCTCCCGCTGGCTCCCAGGAAACCCTGCCAGTCCGCTTGCTGACTTCCCCAGCCCGAGGCCCTAGAGCATCTGCCTTCCTGCTGGAGTCCGGGCGGTTACTACCCATTTACAGGGAGGTCGCTGTTTTGTGAGACAGACAAAAGTTCATCCGTGGAGGGAGTGCCCGAGGCGATTATTACTTACTCCAAAATTTTACCCCCAGTTTGCTTGAACTGGCAAAGTCTCTCCCACCCCGGGGCGGGGAGGTTCACACAGAGCAGCCCCCACAAAGCCAGCGCCGGGGGCGAAACCCACCTTTTCTTTGGTCTTCTGGCTGGGGGACATTTCTGATTGATTTGGAAAGATAGCGGCAAGCTTAAGACGAGACTTCTCGAAAAACACTCGGGGGTTGATTGCGTTTAACTTTGAGTTTTTTATCTTTCTCTTATGCAGTAACCCTTCCCTTATTAAAAACATGCAGACCAGCCACGCCTACTGTACACCTCTCAATGCAGCTTTACAGGTAAGAAAGATTAACGGCCGTCCGGACTGTGCCGCGGAGGCACATGGCTCCCGCACTCATTTCAAAATATATTAGCCTCGCTCTAATTAGATATTAAATTTTAATTCCGTTAAACTTTTTTCTTAAGTGCACAAAGCATCGTACTCCCTGGAGGCAAACACGTCGGGCTGCTTCAGCATTAGCAGGATGCTTAGCATTTTGAATATTGTGGCAAAAAAATTAAAAGTTCACTTATTAATATTTATCAGCAGTATCATAATTTCCATCCTCTTATTTCAGAATTTCACTTGAGGCAAAAATACCACAAGTGTAATTACTCTAGCACAGCTATTAATGTGCTGGATGATAGGCCACTGTGTCACATGACCTTCTATTGTTCACGGGTTTAGAGCAGGGTTTTTTTTTTTTTTTTTTTTTTTTTTTTTCCTTAACTTCTGCTCCTTTTTCTTTTAAAGTCTAGTTTGGCCTCTTTTCACTGGGGAGAGCGGGGCCGGGGGGCGGGTTCGGTTCGCTTGGTAACAGTAAACTGTTTTTGTTCAAGCGATAGAGGTGTTGTTGAAGGAGAAACTCTAGGTTTCCAGCGGATTGCTCAAGGTTGCGTAATAAGCTCGCAGAACGTTTGTTTCGTACTGACAAACCAAGCCCTGCTTTCGTAACCGGCGTTGCCAGGGGACGAAGCCACGGGGATTGAGCAGGAGGGAGGTTACCACCCAAACGTGAGTTACCGGGGCAGCCCTGACATCCATCAAGCCTTTGAATTATCGCATACTTCTCCGTTACCCAACAGTTAAAGTCATCTCCCAGGTCGAAGAGAAGACCGTAGTACACTTCCTTAAGGTATTCCTGGGTACCCCCACTCCAGAGTTCGTAGGTAGGCAGGGTCCTTTGGCCCGTCCGTGGTCCTGTTGGAGTTTGACCCACCTAGATTGTTCTAGACGGCAGTCCAGAGGGATCTCGGTAACTTAACCGACAACCAGTCTACACACACAGGTAGATCTGACGTATGTGATCCTAGCCCGTGACAGACCTTTGCAGCATGCGTTCTTGATACTTAAATAGGACAATGTCATGGGCTCCTGCAAAGGGCCGTGACGCACAAACAGATATTAAAATTCTGTGAGGGAAGGGCGCAAATGAGAGGAGAAGTGTAAAGAAAGGCTCCTTAAGGGACGCTAATGATGCAAACTCGGTGGAGACGCTCAGCGTTAAGGGGAACAGAGTGCAGTGGAGAGGCGATGAGGAGAGCCCTGGCTATTCCTTTTTAACAACGGTTTGCTGAGCACCTCCCCTGCGCCCTGGAGAATCGTTTTCCCAGTTCACTCAGCAGGAGCTCAAGGCTCCGGAGGATGGATGATACACACCTCTTACGCAGTTTCAGTTCAGAGGCAAAGTCACTGACCTTAGCTTTCGCGCGCGTGTGTGTGTGTGTGTGTGTGTGTGTGTGTGTGTGTGTGTGTGTGTGTGTTTTAGCCTGAACCAAATTTAATAGGAGGAACTGCTTTCTGACAGTTTCTTTTAATTACTTGCAGTTCACAGAGTAACTTTCGAAAAGCAAATGAAAAGCACGCTTAGGTGCCGCCACTGTAAATACCGTTCATTAGTAACTAACTCTTTTCCATGGAGTGTTGTAAAGTCTGAATTTAAAGGCCGCTCTATCTGGAATCGTATTAAGATCACAGGCACATTTTACATTCATGAGGCGGCAAGGCCAGAAAAACCCAACAACCACCCACCAGCAACGGTGATCCTCCATCCTCTGGATTGTCTTGACTCTGTGACGAATTTCAGTTAGGATGCTTTATCATTACAGAACTGTTCGTGTTTCACCTCTAAAACATTTGCTTCTGGCCTCCTGTGCACCCTGTCTTATTTTCAGCGATAGCCCCCAAACTCTCCTGCCGTTTTCCAAGAACACTTGGTGTCCGTCCTGCAGTGAGGTGAACACATGCATCTCAAGTCATGATTTGAGGAATGGATCTTTTTCCTCTCCTCTAGGAGTCTGGGTCCCGGGTCAGTAGACAGTCCCCTAGGACAACTTTCTGCTGTGCAAATTAAATAAAGAGTCTACCAGCAGGCCTTCCCTTCCCGCCCACTTGCATTTTTCAAGGCAAGTAAAAATAATAGTGGAACAACATCTTCAAAAGATTACTAGAGCAACATAACGCGTGATATACAATATATAAAATAGGACAGCCGAATCCACTACAGAAATAAAACATTGGACTCGGGACAGATTGCAGTATGCTCTGAAAAAGTGAAGTAACTAAGGGTAACCGTAAAGCTTCGTATTTATAGACTGCCTTTCCCCCGGGCGTCTCAGAGCGGTTAACAAACATTCCAAGAGGGACAGGACTTAGGGACTTCTGCACCTTGACTTAAGGACCTTCGTGGTTTTTTTTGGGGGGGGCGGGCAGAGGGGCCAGTGTGGTACGAAACCCACATACTGTGGGCATAGGACCACTTATAAAATTAGGTCCGTTATAAAAATTGTAAGCCTCCCCCCGCCCCCGCCCCGGCCCCCTCTCCTAAATAGACATCAACGACCAAAAAAGAAAGAACCATTAGGTTAGACCGAAGCCTGTTGGTGAACATTTTTCGAAGCTCGGGTGGGCTGCTTTGCTCCGTCGCTCAGAGAACGTCCAAGAGGCTCTCCCGTGAAGGAGCCACCAGGTTTCTCTTCGCAGCCCACTTGATCATTTTTTTTAAAGGCGACAAGACTACATCCTTAGAGACATTTCCCTTTTGTTTTTACTTCTCAACTAACTTGAGAAGCTGCACCAAGCTCGAGAGGGCCCCGCTTGCGCCACATTCTGACTGTAGCAGTGAAATGGCTTTGTGGTATTTCCAGGAAAAAGAGACGCACATGGTGGTCCCAGCAGAAGTTCCATGTCGGGGAGAGGCAGGACCACTGTGTTGTCTCAAACAAAGGCAGTCAAGATGCTTGTCCAGCTGCACCTTGTGGCGGGGGTGAAAAAAATCGGGCAGCGGGTCTGTCTTTTCGCTCTGCCAAAAAAGAAAAAAGTGCTTTCTTGCAGTCACAAGAGATCTGTTGAAAAAAGTACTTGATGCAAATTATTTGACAAACTGTAGGAGAGTGAGGAATGTTCAGATGTGCTGTTCATCAAAATGAGTTCACCACATTTGGAAATGAAAACAGGATTTTTTTTTCCCATTTTTTTTTTTTAAAAGAAGGCAGTTGTTATATAAATTCAGAAGTGGCGGGAAGGAAAAGCCGTGGGCTTGCGGAGGGCCTGCCTTTGAAGGAGCCCCTTAGCCGAGGCTGCGGTAGGTGTGGATGGGGCACCCATCGCGGGGCTTGGATGGCTAAGGCGTTTCTGGCTTTGGAGTTCGTGCAGCGAGTGAGACTGCGATTGTCTTAGTGGGCGGATTCTCTGCAGCCCAGCTTTGTACGCGTCCTCTCTTGGCTTTTGGCTCTTACTGTCTCACCAGAGCCAGGATTTCTAGACTAGTTTGGACTCGTGTATGACTGGCCAGTTGGAGTCACCACGCCAGATTGTCTTGTGATTGCACTTTTTTCCGCATTAGGATGGAAAGGCAGGCATAGTGTAGTCTGCGAGAGGACCGTTTTGATAAATCTGCGTCTCGTTACAGCCGCCAGGTTTTGAACGTCTGTCCTCTTTCAATAAAACGAAAAGTCACTGGGTCAGGATCACGACCCAAATGTTACCGTTCAAGCAGTTATCTCAAAACTACACTAAAAAGAAAGATTCAGAAATAATTCACTCCAATGGAAAGGATGGGGGCGGGGAGATAAAAACGGATTCCACTTGTATAATCTCTTCCTTTTCTGTAGGCTCTAAGACAAATGGTTATGGAAGTTCTCCTAAGGTTGGGCTCTGTGGCCCGAGTAATCTGCTCAGATCTTTAATAATATCCAATCCTGGAGTCATCGAAGTGGATAAAGAAATGAAAATTCCATCGTATGTCCCTGTGATCTAGAAATGTTCCGTTCCTCTTGAGAAAAGGCATCAGACAGAAACCTCGTTACTGGTAGCTAGCCTTGTCTACACCCAGGTGCCTCTACCCAGCAGGGCTGACTTGAGCCCTCCCTCGCCACGGGCGCTTTGGTCCCTCCAGCTAGCTCTCTGAGACCCAGCCTGGGCCGTGTGTCAGCAGCCTGACTTGTAAAGCACCAATCCTTCTACGCCTATTAGAAACTTGTCTTTTCCAACCCGTGCCAGAATGACGTGAAACCGAAGATCACTGAATCCACCCATAATTGATAGCTTCCCCGTCTGTGTACACCCTTGTCTTCATAAATCTTCTCTCGGTTGATGGCAGGCTTCGATGGCTGAGAACAGTATACCTCTATACACTACCGCTTCCATGGGAAACCCCACTCTGGGCAACCTAGCCAGCGCCATACGGGAAGAGCTGAACGGGGCGATGGAGCACACCAACAGCAACGAGAGCGACAGCAGCCCGGGCAGATCCCCTATGCAAGCCGTGTGAGTACCCGCCACCCCGGAACGCCTTTGCCGTCACGTCCCGGTCCCCCTGTTCTAGGTGCACACCGGCCCCTTCTCCCCTGGCGGCTTCTGTAACTTCTGATTTCCTAGAACCCAGATAGGAGTGGGTGCGTCCGGAAACCTTTAGCTCGGTTCGCACCTAGGAGGACCGGTTACTGACGTTCCCGCATGAAGCAGTAGGCTTCATGCGGCCCCACGAGTGCCCAAGGCCATAAAATGGGGGACACCTGTGCTTTTGGCCTTCGCTTGCCCGGCTCAGGCCCTTCTCGTAGCCACGTTACCTTTTCCTCCTATAGCAGTAGAACGCATCCCGGTGGCAGAGTTCTTCGCTGTCTCTTCACCGTGCGGGCGGGCTGAAGCTAGCGGGGAGGCAAAGGATGCTCGTTTACTTGGTTACGTGGTACGCGGAAGCGCGGACGCCACGCCGAAGCGCCATTACCAAGCACTGACGATGGCACGAACAAAAGGCGGCATGGTTTCTAGATTGCTCTTAAAATATCGAAAGGAAAATTAACAGCAGCATTATAGCAGCAGACGGCAGTAGGCAGTATAATGAGCACGCCCAGGAGCGTACGGAGTGAGGCACGAGGGCTATCCCTGGCTGCGTGTGCGTGGCGTCAGGACCAGGCACACCACGGGCAGGGCCGTGCGTGGTGCCCCTTTTGGCTGGGTGATGGGAGGCAGGCGGGGGTGACGGTAACGACTCCCCGTCTCCCAGGAAAAGTTTTAGAAGAGCAAAGAAAGCACATTTCCCCAGAGAGGATTGGCGGGGGATGCTGTCGAATGACAGCCTCTGGCTTTGAGCGAGTCTCTGCGAAACCCGCTGCCCGCTTTAAAGGGATAAACCTATTCAGTGTTCAGCTCCTAGAAACGAACCCCTTGTCTACACAGTGCCTCTGAATTCCTGACCAACGTCTTATTTTAAGAGCATCTGAGTGATCAGAATGGAAAATATGACCTGTGGCAGTTAGCAAGAGCATGACCTGTGTGGCACCTGCCAACCAAGGCAGAATGCGGTCTGCCTGCATGGGTAAATTGGTGGGTTTGGAGGAATCTGAAATTTGATTCTTTAGCATTTGAGCTGCATGCCCAAAGTGCTTTGAAAAGGACCTTTAAAGATGAAAATAATCGTTTTAAATTTATATCAACAGTCTCAGCATTTACTCCACAGCATTTTGAGAACGTGTTTCTCGCTCACGCCGCCACTGCCATCGATCTCCCTTCGTCAAGCAACCTGGTCTTTCTGACTTGATTAGCACAGCCGTATTCATCTCGAAATCGTTGTCACGGGACAGGAGTATTTTACTAAGCTATTAAGGAAGTTCAGAGCACACGTAAATTGGCGTGTGCGCTGCTTAAAGGAATACTTACTGGAGCAAAAGCATCTGAAGTTACTGAGTGGGAGAGAGACTGTTCGTCTGTTTGTCTGTCATCCTGTCCACAGACCGCTGACGTTCACTTGATGTGTGTTCCTATTATTTATAGTAAAAAGGATCGCTGAAAAAAGAGAGAAGAAAATTTAAAAAGGTATTTGGGTAAAAACCTCTCACAGCAGTTTAGAGTGAGGCTAATTTTGCTGTACAAGGTAGAGTGGCTATTTCAGACTTTTGAGTTAACCCCAAGTATTACCAGAAACCTTGCTTTACAGCGAGCAGTCAGCCTAATTTTTAACGCAATGAAGGTTGTACTGGTGTGCCGTGTGTGTGGTTTGTTTTTAAGAAACCCTGCATAAAGGTGCCCCAAAGCATACTGTTTTATTGCTCAAATCTCACAGGTTTACACTAAAATAAAGGATTTTGCTAAAAATAATTGTTGGTCATCAGCCCATATGCCCGGTGCCTACTCTCGGTGTTTGTTTGTTAGACATGCTTAACTCTTTTTGATCTCAAATTTCCATGAAGCAAATTCTGTAATGACGTAGTTTTCTTTCTGGGCCAACGTGCATTACCCTGCTGTGATGCAACTTGTTTCTCACCTGTTCTGTTCTCTGGGAATCAATCAGCCATAAACTCTACAGCAAGGCTTAAAGGGCCTCAGCCATAAACTCTACAGCAAGGCTTAAGGGCCTCGGTTAATGAGGCAGCCCAGCTGCTACCGAGTGTCGAAATAGAACTTCTTACCCTTTCTGTGACACTCAAACCCCGCAACATTTTTGTCTGTCTCTTGAAACAAACGCTACAAAGTAGTCACATAATTATGGCTTTGGGGCCTTATACTTTTATCCTGATAGGGGCTCAAGGAGCTACAAAGCAAAATACTCCATGCTGTGCCCACACCCTCTGAACACAATGCCTTTAAACTTACCAGTCAGCTTGCCTTAAAAACTCTTCTGTTCCCAGAGTAGCTAAACAAAGGAATTACTCAGATGTAAGAAAGGAAATGTGGGGTTTTGCAGTTATTCACTGGGAGCCCTTTCGGAAGCAGGAGTCGGAGAGAAAGGCATTGGGATGGGGGGTGGGGGTGGGGGGGGT